CTACTAAGCGTAAGCCAACTAATGGCCAAGGGGATTCACCTGGAGTGCCACTCCTACTCCAACGAGTTTCGGCTTTACCACGGGAAGGGCGGCCTCTTCATCGGTCGTGCCCTCCTGAAGTCTGGCGTCTTCGTGTTGGACTTCGTCCCCGACCGCGGCACTGCCGACAGCGACGGTATCGTATCGTTCGCCGCCTGGACTCACCCGCCGGATCTTGATCCAGACTTCGACAGTGACGGCTTCTGGCACTCCAACACCATACCTGCAGCAGAGAGAACACGAGCATTAGCAGTTATCAGACAAGAAAGACAAGTACCCGCACGTATCCCGACCAAACCATCACCTGCAGTATCGGCAGCAGGACCCAGCCGAGTCCCACCACCAGCGACCCGAGGACCGCCAACCGAAGCAGACCAGCTAATGCCCATCACACGAGAAGTTTGTCGAAGTCCCGCCTCAGTCGTCGCGTTCTTCTCCAACGCCGACATCTACCACCGCTCGCCCGGTCATCGCGCTTCCGACGACATCTGGCACCAACGTCTCGGACATCCTGCAAACAGCACGATACTACAAACAATCCAAGCAGAGGTGTTAGAACGCAACGCCCTTCTAACGACGAGCGGCCAAGAACTTCGACGACCACGAGCACGGTGCTTCACGTGCCCCGAAGCAGATCTTCCTCATCAACCTTTCCCATCTCATCACAACCCAAGCGCACCTACTTACGCTCCGATGGAAAAGGTCTACAGCGATATTTTAAACATGCCTCGAGAAGACACCGAAGCCGACTTCAACTACGTCATCACGTTCATCGACGCAGCAACCAGATACGTTTGGCACTTCAATCTCAAGACGCGCGATCAAGCTTTCGAAGCCTTCACAACATGGCTTCCCATCGCCGAACGAGAATCGGGACTCACACTCAAAAGCTTCCAGTCAGACGGTGCACTGGAATACCAGTCACAACGCTTCAGGACCTATCTGGCGGAAAGAGGAATCAGACGCTTGGTGTCCCTGCCCTATGCTCACCAACAGCAGGGGGTCGCAGAACGCAAGAATCGGACCTTGCAGACGACGATGCGAAAACTGCTTCTGGGGATGAGGCTGCCCACCACACTGTGGCCAGACGCGATGACACATGCAGTTCACCTGCACAACCTGTTGTCCTCGTCATCGCTTCCCAACAACGCATCACCACACCTGCTATGGACAAGAAAAAGGGGCAGCACAAAATTACTCCGAGTTTTCGGCTGCATGGTCCAGTACAGACCCCACACAGCCCGAGCAGGACGCTTCACACAACGAGCTCGGTGGGGACTACACCTCGGCATCGCCAAACATTTTCACGCGTGGAAAATTCTCGACATACAAGACAAAAACACGGTGGCATTACGTGATGTTATCTTCTACGAGCGACTGACGCTGCATCATTACCTGGACAACATTGCCAACACACAAGACCCCACCGACGGCTTCTCGGGACTTCGTTCCTTCGCCGACCGTGCTGCCGAAGCTGACGCAGCCGAAGAAGACGTACCTGGAGCCTCGGAAGCTGCCGGACCACTCCCATTCTGTTCCGTACCTGTTCCACTCGACGAAAACAATCCTCTCGATAGCAACAACCTCGACACCTTTTACCACTTCGCTGACCAAGGTTACATTACACCCCACCCAGTCGACACAAATATATCAGAACGCATCGGTCCCAACTTCTTACCTGACCCAAAAGACGGTGACGAAGCAGCTTATTCCGGGAATGAAAATTCCCCTCGACACACTCCCACGGGACTGCAGATCCTAGGCCTCTGGGTCTCCGTCCAGCATCCGCCGCCGCCTTCTCCGCGTGAGCCTTCGACCTTGTCGCAGGCTCTGGGGGGGGAACATAAGGCAAAATGGAAAGAAGCGATGGAAAAGGAGTTAAAGGCTCTGCAAGACCGAGAAACATGGAAACTAGTACCTGCAACAAGCATCAACGGGAAGAACGTCCTCTCGGGGAAATGGGTGTACCGCATCAAGACCAACTCAGACGGCTCCATCGAACGATTCAAAGCTCGATGGGTCGTACGAGGCTTCGATCAACGATACGGAACTGACTACACAGAAACCTTCGCTCCAGTCTCCCGTCACACCTCATTACGCATCCTACTCGCCGTCGCGGCCACGAAGACACTACCACTACGCCAAATCGACGTCGCCAACGCGTTCCTATACGCATCTGTGGACGCTGAGATTTTCGTCGAACAACCCCACGGATTCATCGACGACCCCACGAAAGTATGCCGACTGACAAAATCCCTATACGGGATCAAGCAAGCCCCGCGGCTCTGGCAACAGCACCTTCACGGCCGTCTCGCAAAAATCGGTTCCTACAACTGCCGCATGACCAAGGGATGTACCGACTGCAGAAGGGAAGAGAGTACGTCCTACTCATCGTCTACGTCGACGACCTGCTCTACATCGGCTCCACTACTGACATCGCCACCTTGTTCGAAGGGGAGTTGAAAGAAGACTTAACACTTACGGTGTCCGACGAAGTTACTCAGTACCTGGGACTGAATGTCGTCGAAGACGACACGGCGTTCTACCTACACGCTGGAAAGTACTCTGGCACCGTCGCGAAGAAATTCGGTCTAACACCGACTGCGATCCCAACTCCCTACCGCTACGGGAACAACAACTGCGCCTCCGCAAAACTCCCCGCGAAGCAAATCCAGGAGTATCAACAGAAGCTCGGCTGCCTACTATTCGCAGCAGTAACCTGCCGACCCGACCTGTCCTATAGTGCGAGTCAATTGGCGACGCATCTGAAGCAGCCGGAACAGGAAGATCTCGAAGAGCTCAATCGGGCGCTACTCTACTTCGTCTCCACGCCGACGATCGGGCTCACCTACAGCAAGGCAACAACACCGTCCGTACGACTACTCGGATACGTCGACGCCGATCACGCGGGAGACAGGGAAAATCGACGATCTAGAACGGGCTACATCTACCGACTAGAACCTATCGGAACTATCTCCTGGCAATCGAGCAAGCAGGAGTTAATCGCACTATCCTCGGCTGAAGCAGAATATATCGCCCTTTGTACTGCGACCAAGGAAGGACTCTACCTACGAGAGTTACTCGAGGAAGCGAAGATTGCGACCCTGCCCGCCTTTTCACTCCTCTGCGACAACCAATCTGCGATCAAAATCGCGAACAAGGACGGCTTCGCCAACCGAACTAAGCACATCGCCCTGCGGTACTTCTTCGTCAATGATGAAATCACGAAGAGGAGACTTCAACTCAGTTACTGCCCGACGACAGAAATGGCCGCAGATTACCTGACGAAGAAATTGGCGAAAGCAAAATTCGACTACTGCATGCTCCTGACCGGGCAAACAAACGTCACTGGACCCGAACACGTCAACACTCCAGAAACGAAGGGGAGTATTGGAAATATCTCAAAGGACTTAAGCGTTTCTGAAGTGTAACACTGCACTCGAGGAAGACTACAGGGGAGCACGCGAGTCAACGGAGGTTACATGAGGGGGCGGACAAAGAATGCGAAAAGACTCGAAAGGTCGCAACTGGAGGTTGCGACTGACCGTTACAACATCATGGATGGTAACCGAAGCGGTAATCGAGTCGCCGTGCGACTCGATAAACCGTTCCTGTAACTGTACTCTACAACTGCTTTCTTATCTTCTATAAATTGCTGTATGCTTGTTTCTTTAATCAATCACTTGTTCTCATATACTAGCACAAGGGTTCAACTGCCTCAACTTCCGCTGCACTACTCAAGTCTCAATCCTCAACTGGGACTTAGTCTCTGGAAAGATCCTAAGGGCTTTTCTCAGCCCAACACATTATTTAGAACTCAACAGAAATTCGCTTACTACATGGTTGTAGCAAGATGTATGCAGATTCCAACATTTGAGAGGGGGGTTCTTTTTATAAAAGTGTTAATTCGTAAAGTTGTTTTTTGTAATGAGGAATAATTCCGTACAGTGCAGTACAGCTATATGCGGGTCGAGCTGCCTTTCAAGAAGTCGTCGATTTTGCGGAGGGGCGGAATGTCCGGGTGCGGGGAATAGAGCTGCCGTTGACATTGCCCAGTCGGATATTCCGCTTCCGAGCCGCACTCGTGCGACAGCAAATTGTGCTTGGTTTGCAATTGGCTGCGAACCAATGATACGTCGCCGAAAAGCTGCCCTCTCAAGTGGCTGTCAGCCACACAGCACCGGGTGCTGTAAAACTGCCTTTGGTCATCGTTTTTCCAGGTTCGGTTCGGCACTGCTTGGGCAATACAGCTAGAAGCTTCCGAGGCTCAACAAAGCCGAACGACAGAAGGAATCTTTCCGAACGCACAGGCGCTAGCGGAGGCGCCGCTTGGGCGCGTGTGGTGTTGCGCGTCTCGTACGGACCTAACGAACCAGGCTGCCGCCTCCTAGAGTGATCGGCCCTCCATGCGGCGACAGGTAATTGGACGAAGGTGCCGCAGACCGCAAAGAGGTTGGTTTGGGGGATGTTTGGGGCAGGTTTGTTGGTGTGGGGGAGCGGGGAAGGGGGGGGGGGGGGAGTGATGAGGTGGAGTGAGGTTGGGCAAGGGTGGTGGTGGTGGAGCTTCCCCCATTAACCACTTGCGGGGCGGTGCGGCAGGTAAACCCCGCCAGGATCCCAACCTCACCCGAACGCTTATCCCGTCCCAAACCAGTTCCCCGCCGAACCAACGACCGAATCACAATGTACTGTACATCCCCCGAGCCACGTCTATGGGCGAGATGAGATGAGGGGCCAGGGCCCAAATTTCGTGAGTCAAAATTGCGTCGCCAAAGCGCATGTTTGGTTTTCTCCGTGTCGACTCAGCTCTGCTGGCCCCTTGCCCGTCTCTCTGTCCCCGAGGTAGTTAGTGTGGGTGTTTCAAAGTCGCATTGCTCAGGCGTTGTTCCATGCAAGAGGGTCTCAGCATAGCTCGTTTCGTTGCCTGGACGTTTTGGCGTATGACGTGTGTTTTACAAGCTGTAGCACCCCCCGCCTCGAGCCACTGCAGAACCTCATTCCCCTTCAGTCGCCCAACCTACTACAGTACGCAGGCACATCCACAAGCTGCGCCCATCCGCAAGCTGCGCACATCCGCAGTCTGCGCGGGTATATGATCTCCGCACCACATAGCACATAGCGTCACTGCACTCTTAGCTCGCGCATAGCGTCACTGCACCCCCAGCCCGCGCACAGCGTCACTGCACTCTTAGCTCGCGCATAGCGTCACTGCACTCTTAGCTCGCGCATAGCGTCACTGCACCCCCAGCCCGCGCACAGCGTCACTGCACTCTTAGCTCGCGCATAGCGTCACTGCACTCTTAGCTCGAGCTTATCGTCACTGCGCGTTCACCCACCGGTGTCTGCATTCGCGCATTAGTTAGCTCGTCCTGTACAAGCAAGCCATCAGAAACATCAGACCTCCAGACCCTTCTGAACTCCGTCTGCGCAAGCCGCCAGCGCAAGCCGTCAGCGCAAGCCGCCAGGAACATCAGGATCTTCTTAAGGCTCCTCGACTCGACTTTTGAGTCGACTCAAAAGCATTGAGAGCTTCGATTGTGTTGCACGTCGCCATCATGACGCGGTTGGCGTTTCTCTCCGTCGCCGTCGCGCTCTGCCTCCTCGCATCTTGTAAGTTCGCGTAGGTGACGCGTATGTCGCGTATGTGTCAACCACGTACGTACGCGTATGTGTTGCGCGTCGTCATCAAGAGGCGATTGTTTTTTCTCTCCGTCGCCGTCACACTGTGCCTTCTCGCATTCTTTTAAGTACGCGTATGTGTCGAGGTGCCTAAAAACTTTCAGCAACCGATTGCCGTCCGTCGCCGTCATTCTTCGCCTTGTCGCAAGATGTTCGCACGCGGTTGCGATGTTCGCACGCTGTTGCGATGTAAGCTCGCTGTTGTTTTGTAAGTACATTCGTTTAAAACATCGCAAGCACGCGTCAGCAAGCACTTTTCGAGCTCGTCTGTCGCCGTCCCTCCATACGAACCAGGTGTTACCGCAACGTGTTATCGCAACGTGTTATCGCGACGTGTTATCGCAACGTGTTACCGCGACTATTGCGCACGCTCTTGTCGTATCAAGTAATCACATCGCGCGGTTCTCTGTGTTCCTTTGTACGGACGTAAGAGCATCGCACGGCCGGGCCACTGCGGATGATAGTTTCGTGCGCTTACACGTACGTCTTGTCTCAGCTTGTATCGTATCAGGGTTGCTTTTATGATTTATTTGCATGACGCGCTAGTGCGGGTGTCGTCCTACCCCACCCTTCCCCTCTTCCCCCCACTCTTACCCCCCGTACACCCCCGTACCCCCATACACCGCACACCCCCAGCAGTACCCGCGGAGTCAGGCCAACTATGTGAAGAATCAACTCCCTCCTCCCCCCTCCCCCCCCCCGCTCTCCCTTCCTCCCCCGACCCCCGTCCGCAGTACCCGTGGAGTCAGCCAGTCCGTTTCAGCAGCAGTTAAATCAGATCAAAGCGGGCCTGAGCAGCAACAAGTATTACGCCGGCTTGCAGGCCCGGCTGCAGCGGCTGCATGCCAACTATGTGAAGAACAAGGTGAAGCGGTTCGTGCTGAAGAAGGCTGCCGACAAGATGGCCAACTACAAGGGCCTGAAAAGTGAGTGCGGCGTTCTAGTGCGGTGTTGTTGTAGTGCAGTGTTTACTGCGGTGTTTAGTGCGGTGTTGTAGTGCAGTGTTTACTGTGGTGTTTAGTGCGGTGTTGTAGTGCAGTGTTTACTGCGGTGTTTAGTGCGGTGTTGTAGTGCAGTGTTTACTGCGGTGTTTAGTGCGGTGTTGTAGTGCAGTGTTAACTGCGGTGGTAAGTGCGGTGTTGTAGTGCAGTGTTTACTGCGGTGTTTAGTGCGGTGTTTTCCCGCCTAGATCTGCGGCTCCACGTGAGCCACCAGGTGAACTAGATCTGCGCCTCCCCCTTCCCGCCGCCTCCCCCTTCCATACCCGCTTTTAGCTCGACTCGAAAGTGTGCTGAAGGAATTTGCCACCTAAGTGGCCGCTTATACAGGCAGGAATTTTTTACGCGCCTATTCTTATACAGGCAGGAAATTTTACCCGCCTAATCTTATACAGGCAGGCAGGAACAGTAAGTTTCACCCGCCTACTTCCCCTTCCCAACTCCCCTCCCCTTTCCCGACCCCTATCCTCCCCCCCCCTCCCCCCCAACCCTCCACTGCTCCTCTCCCCCTTCCCGCTCCCCCTCCCCCTTCCCCATGCGCGCCCCCTGCAGCGGCCATCATGTACCCCATGAGGGGAAGGGACACGAAGGGCAACCTGGTTGGCCAGGATCATGCCTGTTCTCACCTCCATTTCGCCTTCCCCCGCCCCCCGCCCCCCCCTCCTCCCCATGCGCCCCCATTCAGCGGTCATTTCGTGCCCGATGAGTGGGCGGGACTTGAACGGCAAACTGGTTGGCCAGGACCACGCGTTTGGGGTCTACTTCATCTTCATCTACAAGAGGTGCGCTTTATTGTCGCCTATAGTCTATTTTTAAGGCGCCTCAGAAATCGTCTCTCCACTCATCACTCAGCAGGACCACACGTTTGGGCTCATTTGCGCCTCAAAAATCGCGTTTGGGCTCTCCGGCATCTTCGTTGGCGCCTCAAAAGAGAGGTGCGCTGTTTAGGCGCCCAAGACTCACCCCCTGTTGCAGTCATCGAGAGGTGCGGCTTAGAGTCCACCTAGAGGTGTCGTAGTCGTCAAGAGGTGCGCCTTTGAGTCGCCCAAGTCTATATTTGAGGCGCCTCACGCGTTGGGCAGGATCACACGTCTGGTCTGGGTTCTATTTTTGAGGCGCCTAAAAAATAGACTCCTCTCGCTGGGCTCTTGAGGTGTAGTTGTGGAGATCACCTGGACTGGGGTCACCGGGACCAACACGTCCCGCTCCAGCAGCCTTGGGCTCATCTCCTGGTTTCCAGGCTCATCCGCCCCCCGTTCTCCCCCCATGTGCGCCCCCCTCCCCCCCCCCCCCGTTCTCCCCCCATGTCCTCCCCCACGCCTGTTCTCTCCCCCTCTTCTTCCCCCATCCCCAGGGCCGACGGTGACTATGACGGGTACTACGGCGGCTTTGTGAAGCTGGGCGACCCGGAGATCCCCATCGCAGCGGCCATAAACTCGGGGATGGCGGGCGAGGACGGCTCAACAGTCATCGATTTCGGCGCTGAGGTCACCTGGATCAATGCGTCTCGCTCCAGCAGCCTCGGATTGATCTCTTGGTTCCCTGGGTCCTCAGCCCCCCTTGGGTACAACTACGTATTTCGCGGGTCGTGGTCCGCAATGAGCCTGCTTTCCTCTGCTGACGGGTCGACCATGTTTGATACGATCGACGCTGTTGCCAAGTCGACCCAGACGTATTACGGGGTGGTCGCCAATTCAAATTATGCTACTGCTGCTGCAAGGGGGCAGTGCGGGCTCGACTTTTCAGGAATCACCGGCAACTAAGGCGCCAATTCTAGTTATGCTAGGGCAGCAGTGATGGGCCAGTGCGGGATCGACTTTCTGGGAATCATCGGCGGGTATCGGTTCCAATATCCATAGCTGCTACTGGCAAGTCACCCGTAGCAGCTACCGGCAAGTCACCCAGTCAGAGTATGCCACTGCGGTAGGGGAGGGACACTGCAAAGTTGACTTCTTGGCAATCGGCGGCGGGTAACTGGCCCGAAGCACTGCTTTCCTTAGTTATGGGCTGGAATTATAATTTATCCAGCATCGGTTCTAGTCTTGATATGAGGCGGTTACATTCTCTGTAACAGCGTCTCACCTGGGGAAGGGATGGGGGTGGTGCGGTGTCGTGAGGGGGAGGGGGGGTGGGTGCACGGGTGATGGTGGGGATGGGGGGAGAGGGGGAGGGGGATACGGGGTGGTTGTATGGGGCTAGTTAGATTAGAAGAGATCGACGTGTTCTTAGGGCTGATGATGGGTTTGTTGGCTGACGTAGGCTTGGTTGGCTGACTTTAGAGTTGACTCAAATGGTTGCTGTGGGGCTGGATGTAGAAGTGATTGAAATGCTTTTAGGGCTGATTATGGATTAGCTGGCTGGCACGGGCTTGCTTGGTGGAATGCGGACTGCAAGATAGGACCTTTGTTTGTGCCATTTAATGGAGCGTGGTAAATCTGATTGTAGCCATGCTTACTCTCTGCCGTGTTTGTCCTGATTTCCTTGTCCTTCATTCACTCCTTCCTACCTACACCAGCATCCGCTCCGAAGACCTCCTTTCCTTGGCTTCCCCTGCTTCAGCTCTGCTTCAAAATGGTGTTGATGACATGTCTTGCGACACGACACAAACTTCTGGGCCTGATTGCTGCATAGTACCACAGCAGTACTCTTGTATTGAAGCACCTACCAATTCAGTTGCTGGCGGACGAAAACAGGGGAAGCTGTTAAGAACTTAGGATGCTAGGTCCCTAAAGTTAGGACACTAGCTTAGCTAGGATAGGAGCAAGGCCGCCATGGAACGGCGCTAGGAAAAACGGATCTAGGAGTAGGAGGAAAGTCGAGAAGAAAGAGTGTTGGATTAGGAAGAGAAGGGAGTACAAGGAGGGGTTTGTACCCCCTACAGAAAGGTTCAGTAGCAACCTACCAAGCCTATATAAAATTATAACTTATATAATTTTAACACACCCCCTAGGCTTGGTAGTGTCAAGCCCACTCACACCCCCACACCCGCACCCAACCCACCCCCTAACCCCGCACACCCTCAGGCTCGTGCTTAGCCGGGTATCTGACCCTCAGGCAAAGCGTTGACACACCCCCGTACACGAGGCAGCCGACGGCGTCTAGGCGGGTCAGCGACAAGCAGCCGCGGAGCTCTGGCTCAAGGCGGCTGGGTCGCCGACGACAGGCGGCGACTGCCGCGGCTGAGGGCTCTCGGCGATGTGGCAACGTCCGGGCAGAAGACAGCAGCTGCGACAGGAGGAAGGGAAGACGCAGGGGGAAGGGAGAATGGGGGGGGGGGGGGGGGGGGGGGGGGGGGGGGGGGGGGGCGGGGCGAGTCTTCAGCGTCGCGCCATAAATGGCGCGGCGCTTACAGGCGGGACGACGGCGTCCTGGCAGGGGGCGACGGGGCCGGGCAGAGGGCGACGGGGCCAGGCAGGGCGCGACGGGGCCGAGCGGGTGCGATGAGGCCAGGCAGGGCGCGACGAGGCCCAGGAGGGGCGCAGCCGCGGCGTCGCGCTGACGTCGTCCCGGTCGCGTGTCGAGACGGCCGCGGCAGGACGGCGCAGCCGGCGAACAGACGACAACGCCACAGCGTGACGCCGCCGCGGCCGCCATGGCAGCGTCGATGCCGCAGCGGGGCGTCGACGCTGCGACTGCAGAACGACGGCCCGACTCCGCGGCAGCGCGTCGGGCCGGTCGCGGCACGACGCGCCCAGTGGCAGCGCGACGTCGCCACTGCAGCAAAACGCGGCCGCCATGGCCGCTGGAGTGAATGAGGGTGAGGAGTAAATGGCGGAAGCGAGAGGAGGCAGTCCAGCAGGAAGGATCTCCTGCTCTGATACCATGTTAAGAACTTAGGATGCTAGGTCCCTAAAGTTAGGACACTAGCTTAGCTAGGATAGGAGCAAGGCCGCCATGGAACGGCGCTAGGAAAAACGGATCTAGGAGTAGGAGGAAAGTCGAGAAGAAAGAGTGTTGGATTAGGAAGAGAAGGGAGTACAAGGAGGGGTTTGTACCCCCTACAGAAAGGTTCAGTAGCAACCTACCAAGCCTATATAAAATTATAACTTATATAATTTTAACAGAAGCCAGCACAGTAGCTGGCTGTCCTGCTTTACCAGAAACACCGAGGGCAGGGCGGGACAAGTGAAGTTTTAAGAACCAGTACCGTAATCCCCCGGATATAGGCGCATAGGGGCTTATAGAAAATACCTGGCAAAAGTGGCATGCGCTTGTAATCGAATAAAAATTATAAGCCCAGGGCTTAACTAAGGGATTTTATGGAAAACATATTTCAGCACATAAAAATGTAGCTCTTGACATTCTTGTTCTAGCGCGTCTGTTTCCCTTGGGCGGACTGTTGACATCTCTTGAGGAAATGGCTCACGAAATTTCTGCCAGCAAATCTACCCTGCGATGGGCTGAATTTTCCAGCCAATCAGAGCCAAGGCAGGGAGCGAACAGTGCGCATCTGGTTCGGGAGGCGCTAGGGGGGTTACGACGATATGAAAAATCCTCGTTTCACCGATTGTTCTACAAAAATTAGATGCGCCTATACGAAATACATTTTCAAAAATATGGGTGCGCTTACAATCAAATAACGGATATAGGCGCACTTGCACTCCATAAGCCCAGTTGGCCAAATAAAGGGATGCGCCTATATCCGGGGGATTACGGTAATAGCCTTGTGAGCAAGAAGAGCCGAGGGTGGGACAAGAGTAATAAACCCTGGACAGTAGAGTACCGCATCCATCCACCCACCCCCACCATGGGAGTTGGGCCTCTATGTCAACTTATACATATTATCTATGTAGAAGTTATAGGCTAGACTGAGGTATGCTTCTAGTGAGTACAACCAACTAGTATTTGTTCTAGGTTTCCACCCCTAGTAATCATTCGTTTCTACGTTAACATGGTATCACGCTTAGGTTAGGATCCCCCCGCCTACCGCTTCCGCCCGTCGCGCCTCCTAGGCCCCGTCGCGCCCCCTAGGCCCCGTCGCGCCCCCCCTGGGCCCCGTCGCGCTCGTTAGGCCCCGTCGCGCCCCCCCTGGGCCCCGTCGTGCCCACTGGGTCCCGTCGCGACCCCTAGGCCCTAACGCGCCCCCGCTGGGCCCCGTTGCGCCTCCTAGGCCCCGTCGCGCCCCCCCATGGGCCCCGTCGAGCCCGCTGAGCCCCGTCGTGCCTCCTAGGCATCGTCGCGCCTCCTAAGCCCCGTCGCGTCCCCCCCCTCTGGGCCCCGTCGCGCCCGTTCGGCCCCGTCGCGCCCCTCCTAGGCCCCGTCGCGCCCGCTGGGCCCCTTCGCGCTTCCTAGGCCCCGTCGCGCCTGCTAGGCCCCGTCGCGCCCCCCCTGGGCCCCGTCGCGCCCGTTAGGCCCCGTCGCGGCCCCCCTGGGCCCCGTCGTGCCCGCTGGTCCCCGTCGCGACTCCTCGGCCCCGTCGCGCCCCCCCTGGGCCCCATCGTGCCCGCTGGGCCCCGTCGCGCCCCTTAGGCCCCGTCGCGCCCGCTGGCCCCTGTCGCGCCTGCTGTTAGCGCTCGCCCGCCTGGCCTCCTCCTAGTGCCGCTCGGCCTCCTCCTAGTGCCGCCCGGCCTCCTCCTAGTGCCGCCCGGCCTCCTCCTAGCGCCGCCCGGCCTCTCCTCAGCGCTGCCCGGCCCCTCCTCGTGCCCGACCGGCCCCAGCAGCACCAGCCTGGCCCCTCCCAGCACCAGCCCGGCCCTAGAGCACCTGCCCGCCTCCCCTGCTCGGCCTGCCGTGTCCTCTCGGGCCCTGTGTCTTCTGCTTGCCTGCGCTGGGACGCCTAGCTGCTGCCCTACTGGAGAGTGCTGCCGCCGTGTCCCCGCGCCGCTGTGCTCCTGTGCCGCTGAGGAGCTGTGCTGCTGTGCCGCTGTGTCGCTGAGGAGCTGTGCCGCTGACCCTGCACGATGGCTGACTTTGTGCTCCGCCTGGACGCTGAGGGCCACGCGGTTGACTTCGCCGCCTGGCTCTCCGATCTTCGCCGCCAGCTTACAGGTCAGCGCCAGGATGGCCACTCTCTGGTTGTCCATGCTGATGGCTTGCTCCCCCGTCCCCCTGCACCTTCTCCCCTCCCTGCTGACCCCTCCTCTGATGACCGTGAGGCTTTCTCTACTGCTGCGCTAGCCTGTGCGGTCTGGGACTCACGCGATGCAGTAGCTCAGGTTGCTATTAGTCACGCCCTCCCTGTGTCTGAGCGCTCGCGTTTTGCTACTGTTGAAACGGCCAAAGCTTATTTAGAAGCCGTTATTGCTCGCTATTCCACCCCTGCCTCCGCTTCTGCTGGCCGCTTGCTCTTTCCGATGCTGTTCCCAGACCTGGCTGCCTTCCCTACTGTCGCAGATTTTGCCACTCATTTGCGTGCCCTAGAGACTCGCTATCGCACTGCCAGCACTGCTGCCCAGCTCACTGCGCTCCCCCCTCCTTCCTGCATGACGCTCTATTTTATCGCTATGCGCCTGCCAGACCGCCTCGCTAGTGCTCGCGACCACTTTCTTAGCCAGCACCCGGGTGACCTCACCTTGACCGCCTTTGTCGACACCCTCACTGAGATCGAGACTCGCCAGCGCACTATCGCTCAGTCGAGCGGTGCGCCGGCAGTCTCTATCTTTCACGGTTGTGCCCCATCCCCGTGCACGTTCACTGACGTTTCGGCTGCGGTCGCCACGGCGACCCCTCTTACCGAGACGGCTGCTGCTGTCCACCCGCAGCAGCGCTCGCGTCGCGGTGGCCGTGGCCGCCAGGGAGGTAGGGGTGGTGACGCAGGTGGTAGTGGTCGTGGTGGTGGTGACGGTAGTCCGCCTGAGGGGACTACCACCGGTGGGCAGGAGCAGCAGTCCCAGCAGCAGCAGGACCAGCCCCAGCCGCAGCCGCCGTCCCAGCAGCACCCGCCGCAGCCGTGGGCTCGTCTCCCGCCTGGTTGGCCCGGCACCTCCGGAGGCGGTGGCCGTGGTGGCGGCCCGCGCAGCTTGGCGTCTACCAGCGGCTCCAGTGCTGTGACCTGCCAGTACCAGCTTCAGACCGGGCCTCTCCGCGGCACTCTGTGCCGCCGCCCGCACCCGACCGCCACTGTTTCCGCCGCCTCGACGATCTTTTTCGTCGTCGCTTTGGCCCGGCCCCGGACCTCCCCGACTGGCACAGCCTGCTCCGCCAGGGCGTGCCGATCTTTGAGTTAGACATGGATCAGATAGGTGCTGCTTTGCATGCTTTGTATGCTGACGCTTCTAGTGTTGATGGATCTTACTACCATGTGTACTCTAGTTTAGGTGTTTCACCCTTGTGTAGCTTAGCTTCCCCTGCTGCGACAGGCGTAGGACTGCCTAGGTTGCCTAGTCTAGTCGCTGCACCGGCTCCGTCCGCGGCCTCCGCCACTGCGTCGCTGTCCTTCACTCTCGACTCCGGTGCTTCTGCCTGCTTCTTCCGCGACCGTTCCACGCTCACGCCGCTTGCTGCACCTGCTGTTGTCTCTCTCGCTGACCCCTCTGCGGGTCCGGTCGTCGCGCGCAGTTCTACGTCCCTTCCCTGTCCGGCAGTTCCCTCGGGCTCCCTTACTGGCCTCCACGTTCCCTCGTTCTCCAGGAACCTGGTTGGTGTCGGCTGTCTCCAGGACCTCGGCGTCACCACCACGTTCCCCGGGCACGAGCGGTTCGCTGTCTGTTCTGAGGCTGTCTCAGGTTCCCCCCTTGCGACGTTCCCCCGGGACCCGGTGTCCGGTCTGTTTACCCTACACACCGCTTCCCCCCCGGTTGGTGCGTCCTCCCAGGTCGCTGCAGCTTGCTCGTGTCGGTCCCTCACTCACCCCTCCCTTCTCTGGCACCACCGCTTAGGTCACCCTGCTCTCCCGCGTCTGCGTCACATGTCCCAGCACGGTCTTGTCTTAGGTCTCCCCGCGTCGCTCCCTGCCCTTCCTCCCTCGACTGCGCCACCGTGCACGCCTTGCGTCGAGGGTCGGCTCCGCCGTGCTCCTCACTCCTCCTCGCTGCGTCCTGCTACTGCCCCCCTTCAGACCCTGCACTTGGACGTTTGGGGCCCTGCCCCCGTCCCCGGACCGCGCGGTGAGCGCTACTTCCTTGTGCTCGTTGACGACTACACGCGCTACACCACGGTGTTTCCCCTGGAGCGGAAGGCCGACGTGCCCGACGTTCTTCTCCCGTGGGTTGTAGCTGCGCGTCTCCACCGCGGTCTCCCCGTGTTGTGTCTCCACTCCGACCGTGGCGGCGAGTTCGCCTCTGGTCGGCTTGGACAGTTCTGTCGTGCGGAGGGCATCACCCAGTCGTACACGTTGCCGGACTCGCCACAGCAGAATGGGGTTGCTGAGCGCCGCATCGGCTTGGTCATGGAGGTCGCCCGTACCTCCATGATCCATGCCGATGCCCCCCATTTTCTGTGGCCGTTCGCTGTTCGCTACGCGGCTCACCAGCTTAACCTGTGGCCACGCTCCCAGCGGCCGCAGGTTTCGCCGACCCTCCTTTGGACCGGGTCCCCCGGTGACGCGTCTGCGTTCCACGTCTGGGGCTGCCTTGCTCACGTTCGTGCCTCTGGCACGGACAAGCTCACTGCCCGCACTGTCCCCTGTGTCTTCCTCGGTTTCCCCCTGGACTCGTCTGACTGGCTTTTCTACCACCCGCCGTCTCACCGCTTCCTCCACTCTCGTGACGTCACCTTTGACGAGTCCGTCTCCTTCTACCGCCGCTTCCCTCACCGAGGTCTCCCAGTTGCCCCCCCCTTTTCCTTGCTCCCTCTCCCCCGGTAGCCCCTGCCCCTCTCCCGCCTCGTCCTGCCCCGTCTGGTGTCTCCCACGTCACTCCCCTCCCGTCGGTTGTCCCCGTTGAGGAGTCTGCTGACTCTGGTGGTACCCCCGGTCCGTCCTTGCCGCGTCCCCCTTCCCCAGTGCCTCCGCCCCCACTGTCGCAGTCGCCGACCCCGCTGCCGCCGCCGTCGCCGTCGCCGCCGCAGCCGTCGCCGCTGTCGCCGCCACTGCCGCCGTTGCTCTCGGCCCCTGGGGGTGCTGGTGTGGAGGAGGGTGTTCGTCCTGCGGCTTCTGGGGGTGCCGCTGGTGTTGGAGGGGTTCTCGCTCTTGGGGTGTTGGTTCTGGGGGTGCTGCTGTTGAGTGTTCTGCCGACGGTCGTTCTGCCTCTGCTGGTCCCAGAGTTCCGGCCCAGCCGTCGTCGCCGCCACAGCAGCCGTCGCCGCCGGTTTCCGCTCTCCGCCTGCTCGGCCTTCCCTCCCCGGACCGCGCGCCGGTGTCTCCCCCACCGCCTCCTGACCTCCCTGTCTACGGTCCTGTGTTCCCGCCGCCAGACTCGTCTCCGGCCCGTCTTCCTCCTCGTTCCCCTCCTGTGTCTCCTCCGCTGTCCCCTGACCCTACCCCTCCGTCTCACGTTTGGGCTCGCCGTCCCTCCCGTGCTCGTCCCGTCTCTCCTGTCCTGCCCACCCACCCTATGTTGCTCCGTTCCCACTCGTCTCGTCCTCCCCTCCTCCCGTCCCCTCCTCCCTCGTCCCTTGCTGTTGCACCTCCTCCGTTCTCTGACTACCTCCGTGCTGCTCGTCCCCTTGTCCCTCGGGTCCTTGCCTCTCTTGTTACCGACCCTGCTGTTCCTGTCTCGCGCCTTGACGCGCTTGTCGCTGCTGTCGCTGACTTCGCTTCTACCCGCCGCCTTGACTACGCTACCGCTCTGGTCTCTGACCCTGCCCGTCCTCTGTCCGTCGGGGGTGCTCCTGCCCTTGGCAGTGACGTCCTAGAGGACAGGCAGTACGAGCTGGCTTTCCTTTCCGAGGCTGCTCCCCATCTCTGCTCCATGCTGTTAGTCCCTGAGGGTGACCCAGACGCCTTCGACATCCCGACCCCTCGCACCTACGCTGAGGCCACCTCGGGACCTTGGGCCTCTCAGTGGATAGCTGCCATGGAGCAGGAGATGGCATCTTGGAGATCCACCGGCACTTACGTCGACGCAGTTCCCCCGCCTGGGGTGAACGTAGTCGATGGTCGGTGGCTCTTCAAGGTGAAGCGCCCCCCTGGAGAGCCGCCTGTCTTCAAGGCGCGCTACGTGGCCAGAGGTTTCAGTCAGCGCGAGGGAGTTGACTTCTTCCAGACCTTCGCCCCGACCCCGAAGATGACCACTCTTCGGGCGCTGCTACACGTAGCAGCACAGCGTGACTACGAGCTTCACTCTCTCGACTTCTCTACTGCCTTTCTTCAGGGCAGCCTACACGAGCAGGTCTACCTGCGCCGACCACAGGGCTTCACTGGTACCTTCCCTCCTGGGACCCAGTGGCTTCTCAGGCGCCCGGTCTACGGCCTGCGTCAGGCTCCCCGCGAGTGGCACGACACGCTACGTGCCACGTTAGCAGACCTGCAGTTCTTTCCGTCCTCTGCTGACCCTTCACTGTTTGTGCGTTCCGGCCAGACTCCGTTCTACATCCTTGTCTACGTAGACGACCTGGTCTTCGCTACTCCTGACAGGGACGCACTGGCCTCTGTGAAGGCTGAGCTGCTGAAGAGACACACCTGCACTGACCTTGGAGAGCTGCGTCGCTATCTTGGCCTGCAGATCTCTAGGGACAGAGCAGCACGCACCATCACTCTGACCCAGTCACACTTGGTGCGTCAGGTCCTTCAGAGGTTCGGTCTTCAGTTCTCCTCCGCACAGCCCACACCTCTACCCGTAGACCATGGGCTCTCTGCTCCCGTTCCTGAGGAGCCAGTAGAGCCCAGTGGCCCCTACGCAGAGCTGGTGGGTTGCCTCATGTACCTGATGACTTGCACTCGCCCAGATCTCGCATACCCTCTCAGCATCCTGGCTCGCTTTGTGGCTACAGGCAGACACCGACCTCAGCACTGGTCTGCCGCTAAGAGGGTTTTGCGTTATCTTGCTAGTACATCAGGCATGGGTTTAGTGCTAGGAGGACGCAGGCCAGTGGTCCTTACTGGGCACACAGACGCTTCTTGGGCAGACGACGCTGAGACGCTCAGGTCGTCGCAGGGCTACTGTTTTAGCCTTGGTTCGGGTGCTATCTCTTGGAGATCCACTCGCTCGTCGTCTGTGGCTCAGTCTAGCTGTGAGGCTGAGATCTACGCTGGTGCCATGGCGGCACAGGAGCTCCGCTGGCTGACCTTCTTGCTCACAGACTTAGGTGAGCGGCCTAGCTCTGCCCCGGTCCTGTACGCTGACAACAGGGCCATGATACTCCTGTGTCAGGAGCCTCGGCTTGAGGGCAGAGCGAAGCATATCCAGCTGCGGTACTTCCTCCTGCGCGAGCTACAGCAGCGCCGCCAGGCCCGCGTAGTTCACTTGGCCTCAGGTGCCAACACAGCTGATATCTTTACTAAGGCGCTTGCGCCTAAAGATCATCAGCGGCACTGTGTACAGCTTGGTCTTGTTCCTATAGCTGCTCCCCTGTTAGGATCCTGATTGTGTACTCTCTATTATATATGCTTGTCAGACTGGCCTTGTGGCCTTACCTCCAGTGGCTGGACTAGTAGTGCCACCCTGGCTTGCTTCAGTTTTGGTTGTATTCTTGCTGACTGGTCTCCAGACCCCTGCCTCAGTGGTTGGACTAGTAGTGCCGCCCTGAGCTGTTTGCTTCTTGTTTAGTTTCACCCCTTGTCTAGCCTAGGGGGTGTGTCAACTTATACATATTATCTATGTAGAAGTTATAGGCTAGACTGAGGTATGCTTCTAGTGAGTACAACCAACTAGTATTTGTTCTAGGTTTCCACCTCTAGTAATCATTCGTTTCTACGTTAACACTCTAAACTAGACGAGCAAAGCCGGCCCTGAAGGCCTCTGAAAAATCAATGCGTGGACCTCAACTGGTAGGTAGTTTAAGTAGGTAGCCGTGACAAGAAAGGGACGAGGGGGCGAGGGAGTCAACAGGAGCGAGGGGGTCAATAGGGGCGAGGGGGTCAATAGGGGCGAGGCCTCCCCCTGTCGAAGTCCCTGCGGTCAGGCCCCCCTCCCCCTCTAAATCCGCCTCGACCTCCTCTGAATCCGCCTCTGCAGCCAAGCAAGCGTGGAGGAGACACGGGGAGGGAGGAGGGAATGAGGAAACAAGTGGGGGCGGAGGGCGGAGGGCGGAGGAAGGACGGACCCACAGCACGATCTATTACAAGAAAGCACAGCGACACACACTACACAGCCCAACTGCCATGCATAGGGAAAGAGACCGAGAAAGAGAAAGAGACCGACGGAAAGGATCAGCCACCCCACCACCTCCAAAACCCCCTCTCTCTCCCCCTTTCCTCTGCAACCACCCACCAGTCTTTCTTCCCTTCCCCATGGACCCCCCAATCTGCACACAACCCCACTCTATTGCCCTTTCCCCCTCCCCACTCCCCCTTCCTTCTTTCCCCCCCCCCCCATCAACTTCCCCCGCCTGCTGAGTTCCACTCACCCTCCTCGCCCCCCCCCTCCTCCGGGCCGTGGAGCTGACTTCTCCGCCATGCTCACTTTGATGGTGCTGCCGCGCACGGTGTGGCCTGGGGGGGAGGGGGGACGGGGGAGGGGGAGAACGACGATAGAGGACAGGGCGGTATGGGAACGGGGGAGGGAGGACGGGGGGAAACAAGTCTGGAGCTGACTTCGCTGCCATGCTCACTTCGATGGTGCTGCCGTGCAGAGTGTGGCCTGGGGTGGTTTGGGGGGGGGGGGGGGGGGGGGGAGGGGAAATGGGGAGAGCAGAGGAAACGTAGAGGGGGAGCGGGGAGGCACAGAGCTGACTTCTCCGCCATGCCCACTTTGATGGTGTGTCCTGGAGAAGGAAGGGAGGGAGGCGTGGATCGGGGTCAAGGAAGGAACAAGGATTGAGGATTTGGGTCGACATACGATGGCGGGGGGGAGGTGGGGGGAAGGTGTAGGAGAAGGGGGTCCAAGAAACCGCCGCTTGGGGGACTTCATAGATCAACACCCCATCGCCCTTGGCTTGGCCTGCCCCCCGTCGTCCGTGTCAGCCTTCACCCACGCGGCATGCTCGACGTGCTTTGAAACCGCCATTAGAGAAGCCACAGGCACCCAACTCGCCGTTGAAAAACCCACCGGTACTAGGGGCAGCCTGGGAGTCCTCATAGGTTAACACCCCATCGCCCTTGTTCTGCCCCCCTCGTCCGTGTATGACAGGGGTGTTCAACCACACGCACTCAACCCACCAGTGAAAACACCAGGAGCATTCAACTCACCGTTGAAGAAGCCGCCCGCGCTGTGAGCCGCCTGGGGGTCCTCATAGGTCAACACTCCATCGCCCTTGTTCTGTCCCCTCTCGTCCGTGTACAGCTTCACGTTGTACGGCCACTGGTCCTTGTACCCGCGCTTCTGCTTGATACGGGCGATCTGAGGGGCGGGAGGGGGGGAGAGAGGAGGGGAGAGGGGGGGTTGGGGGCTAGGGGTTAAGTCCATAGGTCAACCCCTTGTGTTCTGCCCCCTGTCGTCCGTACAGAGCTTCAAATTGAGCGGCCACTGGCCCTTGTACCCGCGCTTCTGCTTGATGCGGGCGATCTGAGAGGGGGGAGGGGGGAGAGGGGGGGTGGGGGGGGGGTTTGTGGGTGGGTGCAAGGTGAAGGGTTAAGCCCGAGGTCAACAATTTGCCACGCCAGTTATGAGAATGGCCCTTGCACCCGCGCTTGTATCAGGGGGGGGGACATTTTTGAGGCGCCTCAAAAGTAGACTCCCCAGTTATCAGACTGGTCCTTGTACCCGCGCTTGTATCAGCGGGGGGGCAGGGGAGAGGGGGGGGGCGGGAAGGTGAGAGGGCGGGGGGGGGAGGAAGAGGTTGGGTGGAAGGTGAAGGGTTAAGCCAATGGTCAACACTTTGCCACGTCTGCTCCTATCAGACTGGTCCTTACACCTGCAGTTCTGCTTGATGCACGTGTGACTGGAGGGAGCCGGACAACGGACGGCCCCAGATTCTCGGGACAACTTGTTACACACCTCGCCCTACACACCTCGCCCTACACACGTCGCCCTACACACGTCGCCCTACACACCTCGCCCTACACACCTCGCCCTACACACGTCGCCCTACACACGTCGCCCTACACACGTCGCCCTACACACGTCGCCCTACACACCTCGTCCTACACACGTCGCCCTACACAGACCTCGCCCTACAGACCTCGCCCTACACACCTCGCCCTACACACCTCGCCCTACACACGTCGCCCTACACGCGTCGCCCTACACACGTCGCCCTACACACGTCGCCCTACACACGTCGCCCTACACCCTCGTGGGCTCAAGTGACAAAAGTGTACTTTTTGAGGCGTCTCAAGCCACAATTCTATCAACCAGCCCAAGTCTCTCAGCACTCTCACACCCTCGTGGACTCAACTTTTGAGGCGCCTCAAAAACAGCTTCTCAGCACAAGTTGTTACACTGCTCGGCACACCCTCGTGGGCTCAACTCTTTTCCTGTTGAACTCGCCTCTGTCTCAGCCACTATTCTTTATCTCACTTTCTTTTCTTTATCTCACCTTCTATTCTTTATCTCACTTTTTTTTCTTTATCTCACCTTCTATTCTTTATCTCACTTTCTTTTCTTTATCTCACCTTCTATTCTTTATCTCACTTTCTTTTCTTTGTCTCACCTTCTATTCTTTATCTCACCTTCTATTCTTTATCTCACCTTCTATTCTTTATCTCACGTTCTTTTCTTTATCTCACCTTCTATTCTTTATCTCACTTTCTTTTCTTTGTCTCACCTTCTATTCTTTATCTCACTTTCTTTTCTTTATCTCACCTTCTCTTAATCTCACCATCCCGCACCATCCCAATGCTGCCAAACAGGTTGACCAGCTCGTCAACAGTAACATCCTTGGGCAGCCCACCTGTATTCCTCCTACAAACCTCACCATCCCTAACCAGCCCGCACCACCCCTTACCACCACCCCTCACCATCCCAATGCCGCCGAACAGGTTGACCAGCTCGTCAACAGTTACGTCCTTGGGCAGCCCGGAAATATAAATCCGCGCGTTGTCACACTCCGGGGGGCAGTTCTCGTCACATTGCTTCACCCCCGGCGCCCCCCCTCCGCCTCCGCCCCACTGTCCGCAGGCTCATCCCCCCATATCCCCCTCCCCCCGGTGCGCCTCCCCCGTATCCCCCTCCCCCGCCCCCACCCCCCTGTCGTCTCGTGCATAATCTCCGCCCCCCGGCCCCCATCCCCGCGCCCTCCGTCGCGGTCGTATTCCCCCTCCCCCCTCCACGGGACCCGTAATCTCCCCCGCGCCTGTCATCCCCCCCCGCCTGTCGTCTCCCCTTCCCCTGTCATCTCTCCCGCGGTCGTCCCCCCTCCCGCGGTCGTCCCCCTCCCCCGGTCGTCCCCTCTCCCCCTGTCGTCCCCCCTGCCCCTATCGTCGCCTCTTCCCCCGCCGTAGCGATCACTCCCCCTGTCGTCCCGCCCGCCCCCATACCGATCCTCCCCCTCCCGCCCGTAGCCCCCGCGACCACCGCCGCCACCGCCACCACCGCCCGCGTCGGCGGGGCGGGCGGTTCCGCACTTGAAGCACTCCGCGCGGCGGGCAAAGTTGTTGTTTCCGCAACTGCGGCGGAAGGGGACGGGACCGCGAGGTGAGAAAGGAAGTCGTGAATAACTTGTGAATAACTTGGGCATGGAGGGTTTCTTAAACTTGGGGTTTAACCAGGAAGCATTCTAAGCGTACGATTACCCTTCGCATTAGTCACTACAGTCACACAGGCGCGATTTCGTGCATAAGGCACTGTGCGACGCTAGTGTAGGCCTATACGTTCGCAGCACCAACTCACCCCGGGCAATCCCAGTCGCCTGGGCGGGGTGGCGGGGCGCCGCGCCCGCCCCCTCCGCCAAACCCTCCGCCTCCGCCGTAGTCTCCGCCTCCGCCCCCCCCGCCTCCCCCAACTCCGGCAGGGCGCGCGGTGCCGCAGCGGTTACACTCCGACCGACGTGCGAAGTTGTTGTTGCCACACCTGAGGCGAACACAGCACAGGCAGAGAAAAGGGCGGGAGGTCAAGGGGAGGACGGAGGGGTAAAAGCAAGGCTGTACGGACAGGCAGGAGTGGGGGAAAAGCCAGGCTGCAAGGCAGGAAGGAAGCAAAAAGATCAGGCTGAAAGGAGAGCAGAACGAAGGTGCTGAAAAGACGCAAAGATGCGAAGTGGACACTTCGTGTCTGCGTGACTCAAGGGTAAACAGATACTTCTAGGCTCCAAAGATGCCGCATCTGCATAGCTGGAGGGTAAACCAGTCGTCACTCATCAATACCGTCTAAACGAATCCTCTACTTACGCGGCAGGAGAAATTAGGGAGGAAAGGGTTGAAAGAGTAGAAGCGAGGGACGACCTACCTGAATAAAAAGTTTGAGACAATTCGAGCAGACCACCAACCAACCCAAAACCTCGCGCCAAGCCCATGCGACAATCGCCATAGCGATGCGAACACCAGCGAACACCACGTTACAGATTCGAGCCAAGACCGGCATTGGAGGTGGTGGGTGGTACTAAGAAGCTAAGATCGGTCCGTACGATGGGTTTGGGCACAGCCAATCACCGTCGCCTCGACCTCCGCCTCGTCCGCCGCCCCCTCCGCGTCCTCCCCCTGCGCGGATCGGCCGCGGATCGCGCACCGTGCCAATAGCGGGTACAATTGCGTGTTTGGAAGGCATAAAGACATCATAAAGGCACAGGAACACTTAACGATTAGCAGGGTTCTTAAAAATCTGATTTGTAGGCATCTTAGAAAGAAAAGAGGATAATCATAAAGGCCTGGCGTGAAAGGAACAGATCTGAGTGTTTCAGGCAAAAAAAAAAAAACGGCAGCATCTTAGGAAGGTTCAGAAACGAGAAAGAAACGGAATAAATAAATCGTCTCATGGGAGATTGCCAGCAGCCGGATTTCTTACCTCCGTACCCGCCGCCTCCTCCCCCTCCATATCCTCCCCCACCACCACCACCATCGCCGTAACCCTGGTAATCGTACCCAGACATCGCTGCGGATAGATGAAACCGCTGCGTGCTAGGGTTGGGCGCACAGAAGTAGGTCCAGGGAAGTAGAAAGAACTTAGCCCTGGTTCTACTTCTGATCATATAGTTGCACTGTAGTCGTTGTGCCAAAGGAAAGGCAGTCTCCTGCCAAATGTGGAATTTGCTGATTGGGTTTTGAGATTTGGGGGGTGTCAGATGGCAGACGGGGACTGGCAGAGAGAGCTTGTGGTGGATGTTGGCGCGAGAAGTGAAGAGATGTAATTCCCGTTTGTGGTGATGTTGTTGTTATGGGGCTCGAATATTTTGAATCGATGCATGTTCTATTGCGGATTTGAGAATTGCCTTGGAGTCTGGAGTGTAACCTGACGGTTTTGGTTCTAGATCTGGTGATCACTGTGCTGTCCGATCTGTGCATAAAGCGCCTGACCAAACCGTCCACCCATTCGGGAAATTTGGCCTGACGAGGGCCAACTTACTTCGCAAGGCCCTCCTGTAACGGAATTCGCCAGGAAAGTCAGCTCGACACTTGTCGGCAGCACCCGTGCGAAGTGAACGGCGAAACAAACCAAAACGCACATCTTCTCGTCCGTGTCGCAGGTCATGGTCGTTTGTCACTATTGAGTAAACCCCACCTGCAGTTTCCCTGCTCACGAGCGTCGCTTCTCTTCGTTACGTACTGCAGCAGCAGCACTGGCAGCAAACCTGCATTTGCGAAAAGGAAAACCATGTTCGCGTGCACACTCCCTGACCTGGCATGCCATGAACAGTGTCGTGGAGCATGTGATGAACAGATCCTCCCTTCGCACGCGCGCAGCACCCAGCCCCGTTTCTCACCTCCGCCTTTACCTTCCCCCAAAGCTGGACCAAGGGCGCATCCATCCAGCCAGATTCCAGACCAGACCGCGCGCTTGCTTCCCCACTTTCCCCCATTTTTACTGTAGAGCTGGTAGGCGCAATGCCGCCAATTGAGCCAAGGGGTACGGCGCGGAAGGGCGCGGCGGGCCGTTGCTGAGTGTGAAAAACGCAATCTGGTCTGTGCGCTCCTCCGCACCTGAGGTGCTGCCACCACTGCGATTGCTGCCCGTCAGTGCTGCACCACTGCTCTCCGACCAACCAAACCACAACCGCCACCCCACCCCATAACCCCCCCGCTGCCCCTGACCTCCCCGCCTTTTCCCCCGCCCCATCAACCACCACTTTCCGACCGACCTTTTCCCCAACCTCCTCCCCTCACCCCGCCCCACCCGGTTCCCCCACGGCCATCACCCGCACCAAATCGAGCCGCTCGATCGCGCGCCTCAAAACAAGGCCAACGCAAGTCCCGTCGCCACTCACTCGTCCCCCAGCATAAAAGCTTGTGTCACTCGCAGTCCTTCCCAACAGTCATCTGCTTGCTACTCTCTCACTCAACCACCAGCATTCGCACTAGTGTCGCTCACTTCAAGATCGCACAGCGCGAATCACGCTTGCAGCACATAGTCCGAAGCCATCATCACATTTGGATCTCAGTGGCCTTACCTCCTAGTGGCTCCAAAGTCGAGGACTCGTTATTATCTCCGGTCCGTTTTCGTCACAGTGACCCACAAGGACAGCGCAATGAGGATCACTCGGCTGCTGCTTGTCTCTCTGCTCTTCGCGCTTTTCCTTGCCACCAGTAAGCCGCGCCCCCCCACGCCCCCCCATGCTGTACGACTATTTGCGCTTCCCATTGTAACCACTATTTTCGTTAACTCACCTCATCGCCGTCTGTCGCCACTAGCGTGGTCCTCCGCATGTGACGGGGTGACGATTTCGTTCTGCGCGGAAATGTGCGGACCATTGTAATAGCCAGGCCACTAACGTTCTCCGTTTCTATCCATCTCTTACTGCTGTGCCAGGCGGCGTGCTGGGAAAGAAGGACGGCGATAACGGCAAAGGAAACGGCAATGGAAACGGCAAGGGCGGAGGCAAAGGGGGCGGCAAAGGCGGCGGCAACGGGAAGGGCGGAAAGGGCGGCGGATGGAAGGGGCCGAAATTTCCGGGCATGGGGAAGAAGGGGAAGAGCAAGATCGCGGGGGCGGCGACCGCGGTGTTGCGCGGAGACGAGGTAGTGGATTCGAGCGGAAACGTGATCGGAGATAAGAACGCCACGGGGATCATCGACCTAGTGCTCGTCAGAAACGACACCGTCTACGATCTCCACTTCCAGGTTGGCATCGCGCTGACGGACGCCGGCGAGCCGAATTCCGTCACCGTCAACGAAGGCGCGGCAGGCACTAACGGAGACGTGGTCATGGACTTGACGGGCGACATCACGTGGACCAACACCACTGGGAGTGCCGAGCCGGGTCGCCGCTACGGGGAGAAGAAGAGGGGGTGGGGATGGGGAGGCCGCATGTTCCGGAAGCCGATTCGCCGAGATAGCTCCCTCGATAACATGTACACTTACTATACTAGGGGTGTCATTCGCGACGCGTCGTCGCGGACTAACGCGCAAGGCGACACGTACTTAACAGCCATGCAGAACCTTCTGGACTCGCCCGAGTCGTATTATGGGCTCGTTAAGACTGACACGTATCCCGAGGGCGCGGCGCGGGGGCAGTTTAGGAAGGGGCCGAAGGGGTGGGGCGTGTGGCGGAACCGCGGATTCTGCTTCAAGTTCAACTGCTGAGTCCTGACATGCGTCCGAGTTAGGGGGGCTGACTGAACAGCATACTCGGTGGGCTGTCTTTTAGAGGCGCGGTTGGTAGATGGCAAAGTTTCAACGGTTTCTAATCCTCGTTATACAGAACTCTTTGCTGTACAGATGCGCTTCTGTGTTTCAGTTCAGGTAGACCCGACATGTACAAATTCTGAAATATATGGGACACTATGTACTAATACCGATGAGCCACATACAAACAACTTCCCTACAGCCCTGATCGGTAGGCCATCATTCCAGAATGCAGAACCCAGAATGCGGATTCCGGAATGAGGAATCTGCTGCAAGCTTTCCCGAATCCCTGCGTTGACTCGCCAGGTTAGGTAGTGCAAGAAGGTGAGTAGTTGAACCCTTGTACTAGTATATGAGAACAAGTGATTAATTAAAGAGACAAGCATACAGCAATATATAGGAAAGTAAAGCAGTTGTAGAATACAGTTGCAGGAGCGGTTATCGAGTCGCACAGCGACTAGATTGTCGCCTCGGTTACCATCCGCGCTGTTGTAACGGTCAGTCGCAACCTCCAGTTGCGACCCTTCAAGTCCCTTCGCGTTCTTTGTCCATCCCCTCGTGTAAGTCTTAGAAACTTAGGACTAAAGGTTCTTAAACTTAGGAGGCTAGGTTGGCTAGGATACTAGGAAGAAGACCGCCATGGAATGGCGTGAGGAAAAACGGATCTAGGAGGTGAGAGGATGTCGAGAAGAAAGGTGGTTGGATTAGGAAGAGAGGGGAGTACAAGGAGGGGTTTGTACCCCCTACAGAAAGGTTCAGTAACAACCTACCAAGCCTATATTAAATTATAACTTATATAATTTTAACACACCCCCTAGGCTTGGTAGTGTCAAGCCCACGCACACCCCCACACCCACACCCACACCCACACCCCCTAGCCCAGCACCCCCATTCCCAGCAGGAGCCGCAACGACTCCGGAAGAGGGTAGGTCTCACGGCCCCTTGAGACGGCAATGGCGGCAGCAGCGACAGTGACGACGGCGGCGGCGGCGGCGGTGTGCGGCGGCTCCAGGCCTGCGGCAACAGCGGCGGCGCCGGCGGCTCGAACGACAGAGGCTGGTGCGGCGGCCCCCGCCCTCTCGGCGGCATGTCCTGTCTCCTCGGCGGTGGAGAGGTCCCTCAGATGGCAGTCATCGGCTGCAGCAAGAAAGGGGGGATGCAGGGGAAGCAGGTGCAGGTGGGGGGGGGAGGGGAGGGGGCGGGGCGAGGCGAGTCTTCAGCGACGCGCCATAAGTGGCGCGGCGCTTACTGGCAGGAGGGCGGGCAGGTGGCGGTTACGACGGCGTGCTGCCCGCTGCCGCCCATCCACGCTGCCGCGGCAGCATGACGACGCTGTGGCGGCACGCCGACGCTGCAACGGCAGCAAGGTGACGCTGCCACGGCAAAGCGTCGACGCAACCGGCTGCGGCCCGACGGCGCCGTCGACGCTGCAGCAGGACGTCGACGTCGCGACGGCAGAGGCAGCGTCGATGCCGCAGCGGGACGTCAACGCTGCGACTGCAGAACGACGGCCCGACGCCACGGCAGCGCGTCGAGCCGGTCGCGGCACGACGCGGCCAGTGGCAGCGCGACGTCGCCACTGCAGCAAAACGCGGCCGCCATGGCCGCTCGAGCTAATGAGAGTGAGGAGTAAATTGCGGAAGCGTGAGGAGGCGATCCAACAGCGAGGATCTCCTGCTCTGATACCATCTTAGAAACTTAGGACTAAAGGTTCTTAAACTTAGGAGGCTAGGTTGGCTAGGATACTAGGAAGAAGACCGCCATGGAATGGCGTGAGGAAAAACGGATCTAGGAGGTGAGAGGATGTCGAGAAGAAAGGTGGTTGGATTAGGAAGAGAGGGGAGTACAAGGAGGGGTTTGTACCCCCTACAGAAAGGTTCAGTAACAACCTACCAAGCCTATATTAAATTATAACTTATATAATTTTAACAGTAACCTCCGTTGACTCGCGTACCCGTTGTGATCTTCCTCGAGTGTAGTGTTACACTTCAGAAACGCTTAAGTCCTTTGAGATATTTCCAACAGATGTTAAAGTAACTAGGCTAGGAGGAACGGAAGCCATGGAATGGCGTGAGGGTTTAGGAGCTAGGAGCTAGAGATAAAGTTGACGAGAGAAAAGTAGAACTAGAAAAAGAGAGGGATACAAGGAGGGGATTGTACCCTCTACAGGGCTGACGTTTCAAAAAAAGGCACTCTGAGCTAACAAAAAAATTAAAAAAAAAAAAAAAAAAATTCTGAAAGGTCTTCAGCCAGAATTTAGGGACTCTGAAATGTCAGAGTCCGGAGATGGGCAAGTCTGAAATCCTCAGGATCGCGCAAGTACATTCAGGGTTACAACTTACATGTTATTAAGAAGGCTTCTTGTATGTTACATTTTCCTATACTGGACAGGAGCCTACAACTACCATACTACTACTACCAGTCTACCACCAAGCAATCACTAACTAACAAGCTCCTAGAACTCCGGCGCATCTACTGTAATCTCATCATCACCCCCCTCATTGTCTGACAGGAAAGGGTCGTCGTCTATTCTTGGAGCCGCATCATCCTCATCATCACTCCCATCCTCTTCAGCCCGCCCCTCCCCCATGTACTCTGGCACCTCCCCCTGTCGATCACCCGTTGTGTCTCCCGCCACCTCACCCTCCAGGGCCTTTCCCTTGCGCTTACGTTCCGAAGATGCGAAGACAACAGATCGTGCTGGGCGTCTCAGTTTCTCTCGCCAAGTCGCCAGGGCATCGGTCCAATTGATGTCGTACTGCAGCAGCGATATGGCCATCAACTCAGAGAGGCGCGCGTTGCAGAGTGAGCCACGGACCCAGGACTTAATCACGTTCTGTCGAGAGAAGCCCCTCTCGCATTCGACTGTTGACAGAGGCAGCACGGCGCAGGCCTGCCACAGGCGCATCAGATTGGGCCAGCGCCTGGCACGAGACACAAAAGCAAAGGCGGAAGAAAGGTAGTAGGAAATGCATAGAGTGGAGGCGGATAACAAAGGGGGTTTAAAGGCGGTCGGCAAGGGCGGCAATGTTGTGCACACTTGGCAAATAGAATGGGAGGTGGTGATTCAGAAACAACAATACCGTTGGACTTGCCAGCTCGAGTCCGTCTTCGTGAGGTAGTTTGCCAGGCCTTGGTGGAAGCTCTCCACCTCGTAATGATTCTGCATGATCGGCGCCCACGTTGCGAGCTCCGTCTCCGCTGCCTTCACGTCGAAGCCGGGCAGCTTGTGCTAAAAAATGCCGCTGCATTCGAGTAGATAGTCTTTCGTCTTTTTCTCGCGCTGCGCCCGTTGTCTCGGCCACTTCGCCGCCACCCACAGCTTCGTCGGCGACATCTTGCGCAGATCCCGTATCCGCTTTCGTACGTTGATCATGGTCTCCTTGGCGTGCTTCTGGCACAGCAGCACGCAGTCCTTGTAGCTGCTCCCGTACTGGTGCTTGTCGAGGTGCCGCTCGTGCATCTTGTACGTGTGGGTGATAGGGTTCCCATCCTAGTCGATACCGCGCACCTTCACCCGCTTCGACCCGCCGCGCCCGTACACCGTGAGGAACGCCGAGAGCCAGGTGTTTTCGGCGCCGACACCGAAAACCTCCCCGCACTCGACATAGCGGTGCCACAGATCCCCCAGTGTCTCGTCGATGTCCGTTGCCACCTCTGTGACATCGACCTGCGGTGTGGGGGGGAGGACACAGAGAAGAGGGAAAGACATGAGTAGTTGCACCAGAGGAGAACACCACGCTTGCAGACTATATCTCACCTCTCGCTTCTGGAACTTGAGGTTGAGGTCGTTCATGAGTGCCAGCATGTCGGCCAGGTAGAAGAGGCAAAACTGAAACTTATACGAAATCAAAACCTCATACAGGGGATGCTCATACTCATACAGCAGGACAATCGCAGCACGCAACACTTTAGACAGGCGTCGGATTGCCTCTCCCCTAGACAACCATCGAACTTGATGGATGCCTTGAATCTCAAGGTCTGTGCTGTGAATCGCCCGCTGCAGATGCTGGAAATGACTGCTTCATACACTTGACCGGCCGAGCAGGTCCGCAAGGGTGCGAGTGACCTTGTCGACCATGTCGAGGTCTAGACATGAAGCGGCAGCGTCCTTCACAGCAAGTGCTTCTCTGCATGTACCCACACGGGTAGTAGTTAGCACACGGAAACATAAAAAACATAAACAAACAGCAAGGAATAATTTAACAAACCTGTGGGCGATGAAGTGGGAGAAAAAGAGGTGCGGGATGATGTCTCGCAGGCACGCCACAAGCCCGTTGTCTCGCTCGACCATCACCGACGCGCCGTCTGTGCTGATGCCGACGATGCGTTGAAGGTCGATGCCGGACGACTCCAGGTGGACTAGGAGAGTGGCCATGAGAGAAGCGGCGTCGCACTTTTCAACTTCTAGCAGGGCTAGGAATTCGGTGACGAATCGACGCAGCGCATGAATGTGATGTAGACGATCAGGTGCTTTCCCCGCGTGCGGTCGGTGCTCTCGTCGCATGAGATGCCGAGGTAAGGTGAGCTCTTGATGTGCTCCATCTGAGTAGCCAGCAGATGAGTTGACAGACAGTTCACCATCTGCTGGAACCCGTACCTGCAGTGGCATAATCAGAAGTGAAACAGTCGTCAATTAGCATTGCAAATGCATTGAAATTTACATGGCTGATACCAAAATCCAACCATCGACCGGCGAAAACAAGGTAGCCTTACTTGGTGAGATACACACCGTACGACTGGAGAGGTATGTCTGGTGTGTCTTGCTCTGCCATGAAACGAAGTAGCCTGGGAAACATGGCTAGGAGCATCGTTATTGCAAAGAAACTCCACGCACTGCAAAAGACGGATGACACGGCGGCCTTCGACATCGACGGTGGCGAAGCTTGTCATCTTCTGCTGCTTGTCTTCAATCTCCTTCTGAATCTCGAGCTGCCGGCGAACCGCCTCTGCGTGGACTGTCGAGTGTTCATGGATGCGCATCGTCTGTGTCTAGAGATCTCGCCCGCCATCGCCTGGCCTTGAATACTTCGTCATTTCTTTGCCGAAGGCTCGGCAAACGCTGCACTTTAAGGGCGGGGTAGCCTTCCTTAGTACGGGTAAGTACAAGCCAGGGGAAATAACGCAGCCAATCATTCTTGTACTTAGCCTCAGCGACTAGGT